ATTGCCTTTCACTGAGCTGCCCCCCCCCTCAAAAATCAAATGGTCCAACCCCAAATACCTAGCAAATCTTACTTCGTTGATATATAATCCATCAGCGACAACTTTGATCATATACCGCTTAAAATTGATATTCTTATCTGAAATACGACACCCCTTATAAACATCTAAATAATCAAATATATATTAATCAGTCAAATATATAAATAAAGAAAAAGTGACTAATTTCCTTTCGTTAGTGAAAAAAATATGGCACATCGACGTTTTATAGAAATTACGCCACTAATCTAAATAAGTTTTTAAAATATCGTCAAGAAAATGAGTGAATCGCAGGTATTAACGTACCAACTATAACAGTGCATTGAGCACTCAATTGTAGGCGATGTATGGATAGAGCTGTAGTTGAAGAAGCGTTTTATAAAATATACTTTATCCCAGAATTCATATTCCCTAAATTTCCCATATTTTCACGGATTTCATCCAATATCCAAAATTCAATAGTCATTTTCTATATTTTAGTGTAAACTTGTCTGCAACCGAGTGGAATAATCATGCCATATTGTCTGGGTCGTCGTGGGCATATGAGAAGAAGATTTTCAATTAAGGTCACGGTATCTTGTCGATAGTGAAGGTTTCTTTATATACCAGAGATGGCGCATGTTGTCTTACGCTTTCCAAATTCATGACTGTATATTTGAATTTTTATGACGATTAAATAATGCAGTAAATATAATCATGTGACAAACGTTGTCAATTCCGCATTGCTGTTATTTCAGTTTTATTGAATATGATTATATGAATACAGAAGCTAATGAGTAGAATATTTTTGCTAAAACAAAATAGTGAATATTGACAATTTAAACTTTGTGGTTGGTTTTCCCTGCTATGTGACACCGAGGTTACATTCCCATTGGTCTAGTAGCCATGGACCTTCGACCTATGAATGGAAAATAGCATTTTAAAATTTGTTTGAAACGTACATGCCATGTTGTATGATGATTGTCCTCTGAACTATATATGGGACATGATAACTACAGAATGCTAAGATGCATGTGAACTCTGAGGGCGTACTAGTAGTGAAAACGTCTTTCGTTTCATTCAGGTGCACCGCTGCTTCGACGTTTTTTGTCTGCTTTTTGATCAATATAAAGCAGTAAGTGTGACTCATTTCCCGCGTGCCGCTTACTGTCATTGTAGTATCTATTTCTGTCAATGAAAAGAGTTAGATAAAATAATATGTATATCAATTTTTTTGCACGATAGTCACTGCTTGTAAAGTCGCTGACACAAATTACCCAGTCACAAACCTGAGCCAAAGGTATATCGTTATTTAGCATGGATGGGTCAAGTTGACGTCACTATCTTCTTAGATATTAATATACTAGTACAATCAATTCGAGTAAATACATCGAATGCGTTGTCACCTGATCACCTTCTTCATCGATATTCACCATTTAATTGTACAAACCTGTTTTCAACATGCGCCTCAACCCACTTAAATTTCATTACGAATCTTGCGTTCGTTTTATACGAAGCTGTCAAAAGAGGGCGCACTGACAATCACGTTTACTATTTAATGATTAACTCTCCTTTAATATTTCGCTAAACTTTCGCAATTTTGCATTATTGATTGATGATTTTCAATCCCAAGTGCCATGATTAATTTAGGACATTTGAAAAGCTACGTCACTTTTAAAACAGAAATTATCCTAGTACAAATGTACTCAAACACACATACACATCCTCCTACTTATAATCCAGATTTTAATGTCGAAGGACACTCTAAATAAATTAAATACCACTCGTCAAAAATACTATATTTGACGCCGCCTAGTTTACACAGCACCATCAATGCGACGAGGCTCGCTACATTTTATGATTCGTTAACTGGAGCACGCTCTGCCAGTCTAATTGAATTGAAGTGTCGACTAACGATGTAAGATTGACAAATCGTTATAGCGCTATGCGATGAATAAATCAATAAATTCATAATAAATCGAGTTCCTGCCTTCATGAGCAGTACATTAAAAGAGCGATTTTACCCAGAACTAGCAATCAGACCGCGCCGTATTTGCGACAAATACTGTGGATTTGTTTATATATGTGGTAATTTTGCAGAAGTAATTTGAATTTGCGATGAACTATTCAATGGAAGGGAGTTATCGTATGCGACACCTTCGAACAGCGGTCATAGCTATCTCTGCTGTGTCGCGTTTCAAGAGACCCATCTATGCAAGGTTAGTACGTAAAAATAGTTTTTGACATATTCTGTTAATCCTCAAAACCTTAACATTTAGAATGTGCTGGGTCGGACCATGCATACGATGTAATTGAAAGTTCATCACAACGAAACCAGCAAACTAGTCTCTAACTTACAGGCTCATATTACAGACAGCCCTAAAAATAAAAAAAATAAAAAAAATTCGAAATAAATGATCGTACACATTGTTGCAGACGCGATATAGAATTCTTTAGACAGTCTTTTTACGTGGCTGATATATCTGTAACAATCAGAGTGATGCTCAAAATTTGTTAATGCCATATTAAAGCCATTTGATATAATTTAAAGTGATTGCAAGTCATTTGTATGAGATGACATCATATGCATGCTAGAGTGTTTTAGCACATAAACTGTAAATGCATTAATTATTTACTTGGTTTTATTTTGGCTAATAAGTACAATTCTCTAAATTAATCCACATGAACACGTAAAAGAAGAGCAATATAACTCATTGTTGTACTGACAAATGTGTGAACTTAAACCCTAGTTAATATGCTCAAAATAGTATCAGAATGAGAAATCAAATGTCAGTGAAAATAAATGGTCTTACAGTAACACATTTTCAGATATGTCCAGAATGTACATTCTGTGTACATTAATGCGATGATTACATTCTGGTCATAATTTCAGATGAACTTACGATCTTAAAAAAACTGTGAAATCGACCTTCACTGCTTTATCTTTCTAAAAGTAACTATTTGATTTCAGAATTGTTGTGTGGAACATTATGTGTTCATTCTCCGCAAAACACGTGACCTGACTTACATATACCTTTTTTTTATTGATGTTGACCATGTATTTTAATGTATGCTTGCTGTCTATGATTTTGTATTCTCTGAAATATAAATTGACCTTCAAGTGATTATGTTGTAGCCCCTTCCTTAACGGGTAGTCTGTGATTATGTGTTTGACTTTGGTTGCTTGTGATATTATTTCTACTTCACATTGTCCGTGTATATTTTGTAGAAACCAGTCTGGCAATCAATATTTCAAAGTCGCAATTAAAGACTGTTTATCTACTAGTACTCGTGATCGCATAATTGCATTTCGTTTTCGCAGTACTGACAATAGGAATTTTGTATGCTACCATTGAACTAATATGAATATCAACTCTGCCTCAAAATATAATAAGCATGCAGTAATAACAATATAATGCCCCGGGCAACAGTTAAATTTAGTCTTCAGTTACCACCGTTTATAAGGACAATTTGAGGTAGTAATAATGGTGATAAACTGAGGCTAGATGATATTCAAATTTTAATTTGACATAAATAATAACATTTCAGAAGGCATAAATATATACGATTACACAACACGTGTTGTAGTGAAAATAAAATTCTCAAAAAAAAACTGTCCCTATCTGAATGTGGCAATATAACAATACTTAGAATTCCAACAAATTCCGTGTGGTTTCCGTACACTTATCATGATATTGAACCTGGGTTAGTTTGTTTTAATGACATTACATTTTTTAGAATTGTCACTGATGTTATTTATATATGTGTACAAGTGTTGAGATTTAAATATGTTGTGTTAAAATACTACTTTTGTGTCTTGGACGTCGATCATTTCAACTGAGTAGTTATATGACAAAGTATGTACTTACCCATTTGTTATAATATTAATTGCACATTAAATGGTGTAAAGCAGTTACAATGAGTTGGTATATACCAGCGAAGCATAGCGGCCATATATCAATATGTCTGGTAATGTTATAGCTTGATAAAATTACACGCTTTGTTGAATCACATACACTGCATTTCTATAC